GTGTGTGCATATATATACATAGCTTACTTCACCGACAAGGAAGCTGAGCCTTAGAAAAATCAAATAACTTGCCTAAGTTATGGAGGGAGAGTAAGAATTTGTACATGATCTGAAGTGCTCCAAAGTGTGGCTCAGTAGTGGTCTGGAGTAGAGGCTCTGGAATTGAATCTTCTAGATTCAAATCTTGGCTCAGTCACTTATTAACTAACACTCTCTGTGCCTGTCTCCTTACCTGTTAAATGGGGCTAATGGCTGTACCTACCTCACAGTGTTGTTTTAAAGGTTAAATGAATTAATACACCTAAAGTGCATGTACAGAGTCTGGGACATACTAAACACTCAGTAAACATTAGCCGTAAGTATTTGTCTGCCTCTAACAGAAGCATAAATGGTTGTGTATTCCTTTGAAGGTGAGACTCCCAAAGTATATCTCTAAAACACACTGGTTTACTCAGAAAGTTAATACTCTATGTGAGAAATGTGTCGTAAATGTTTATTTATTAAATGTTGGAATATGGGACATAAATTCTTAGTACTTATTATTTGTTTTATAAAATTCTCATGTAACCAATTAGCAACTTAATTACTAGATAAAAATATCTTATTTGTTCACTCAGAAAGAGATAGCAATTTATAAATACAACAAGGGAAAAATTTTCTTACTATTAAAGGAGGTATGGGATATACAGAGGGTGCCAAAAAAAATGTATACCCATTTTAAGAACGGAAAACTGTATTAAAATTGTAATACTCAATATATACTGATAAAAATGAATACAAATCACATTTGACTTCTGCAATTACAAGAGGTGCTCAGAGTGGTTACCAGCAGCGTCCAGACACTTCTGATTATGGCAAACTACTGCTTGAGCAACGTTAACCCAAGTGTCCACTTGTATACATTTTTTTGGCACCCCCAGTATATTTCTGGTATTTGTCATGTCTCAAGTATGCCTATTTTATTCAACTCTCATTTGGGGTAGGACAAAGAAATCTGAAAAGTAATTTTTACTACTTGTTTTTTTCTTTCTTGTTTGCTGCCTACCCAATTCATAGTAGTAAGAAGAATACAGAAAAAGGATTTAAAAAAAATTACAATTCAAAATGATTTTAAAATTGGGTTTTTTTTAGCCGAGCCATTCTGCCACCTGTTGGCAGCTCAGCGGCAGCTCAGCTCAGGCTGGGAATCGAACTGGCAACCTTGTTGCTCAGCTCTCGCACTCTTGAGTGAGCTCTTAACCAACTGAGCCACTTGGCCGACCTTAAAATTGTTTTTAATAATTTTTGTGAAAATATATCACTGCTTATAAAAGCAATTGGCTAAAAAGAGATTTAAAATTATCTTCAAATTTAATTTACTATAATCTTATTATAGTTCAGAGTTGTAATATTTTTCTTTAAATATAATTCCTCCAGAGGCCAAATCTTAGGACAAAAAAACTCTATAAAGAATAAGCTTTTCTGTGAATAAGTACAATGTTAACATACCATAAGCCTGTAAAAATTACTAGATAATACCAATTCACACACTCAGACTTGCCTGACTCACCTTTACAGCAGAGGTAATAGAGAGAAGACATAAGAGGGTGCTTTGAAATTTTAAAGACCAAAAAGCAGGCTGTGGATTCAGATAGCCTAGGTTTAAAACTTGGCTCCACCACCTAGTGGAGCTTTATGTGTGAGCTTTATCAATTCATTTTTTTTAAATCTGTATTTTCATTATTACTATTTTCAAGTTATTATACATTCTTTAATTTATTCTAGGCTTAATATTTACAAACCAGACTGAAATAGATGACTTAAAAATAGTTATTTAATTCTCCACCACCAATCTAATGATCTATCTCAAACACTTCAGATTTAGTAACCATACAACCGATTTAGGATTGGGAGTTATCACAGATGCTACTGGATTAGAAAACGTTAAGTACCTTAAATTTTTCCCGTAGATCTTCTTCTGTGTAGGACTTTGGTATCATCACAAAGATTCTTGTAAGTTCTTCATCTTCAACATCTCGGTGGCTTCCAGATGACCTGGACTGAGCAATGAAAACCTAAGAAACAAACACAACCCACAAAATAATGGGAATGTGGAAAAAAATCAGTTAAGTTTTCCTATTCCTTAAATATACTTACTTCATTATTAGTATGAGATTCACATTAAGTTCAATGCACTGTAATAGGGTCTTGTATTTTTTTAATCTGTATTGCAGTGACTTTTTTATGAGATAATAACAATATCTGTACTGTGCTTTTTCCAAGTGTATTTTTACTTTTGGATTTTGGTTTACCAAAAGCAATAGTCAGTACATTGAAAAAAGAGTATGTACTACTTGAAACCTACGAAATTTTACTAACCATTGTCACTCCAATAAATTTTAATTAAAAAAAATGTACTCTGCAGTTGTTGGGTACAATGGTCAATAAATGTGAATTAACAGTATTATTAAAATGTTACATCTTTACTGATTTTGTCTACTTGTTCTATCAGATACTAAGAGAGGAGTGTAAAAATCTGATTGTGAATTTATTTTTCTTTTAGATCTGTCAATTGTGCTTCGTGTATTTTGAAGCTTATTATTGGCTGCATAAACCATAGAGATTGTTGTATACTTTTTGACTGACATTTGTATTCTTATGAAAGAACCCTGTTAATACTTATCCTGTTGAAGACCATTTTGTCTGATACACCAGCTATTTCTATCCTTTTACTTTCATCTACAGTAATACCTTGGTTTGTGAGCATAATTCGTCCCAGGCTACTCGTATTGCAAGACATCACTTGTTTACCACATTAAAATGTATTAGAAATGTTTGCTTGTCTTGCAGAACACTCGCAAACCATGTTACTCACAATTCACGGTTTTACTGTACTTTGTATCTTTATATTTTAAAAAAGTCTCTTATAAACAGCCTTTAGTTGTCTTTTCTTTAAATCCTGACAATCTCCGCCTTTTAACTGTTTAGTCCATTTGTTTAGTGTGACATTTGATATAGTTGGGTTTAATTCTAGATGGTCATATTTTTAATTTTTTAATATTCATCTTTAAAAAAGGTAATTTAACCATATTCTGGATCATATCAGTGACCACCCAAATGAAAATGCACAAAATGACTTGAGGTTGTATTTTCTATTGGCAATTTAGTTTTATTGAAACATCCATCTGACATTAGATCATTACTTGAAATTTGCTTTATAGTATTGCTTTTATTTAATTTGTAAACTTGTTTTGGTTTTTATATTATTCCAGAGGAATGTTAAAATCTATAAATAGGGTTGTGGATTTGTTTATAGAGCTATAAGCATAAGGATTTTAATGGCTACTTTATTTTTTATAACTTGAAAAAAATTAATAAACTATAAATCACCACACAATGGCACTTGAGGGTTTTTTCCTCTTTGAAGGGGGGCTGTATGTCATTCAAGAAAGAGAAAGCTTGGACCTACGCAATTTTAGAGTATGAGGCAGCAACTAAAAGGATCCAGAACTTATAAAGCCATGAGATTTTAGGAATATTGAAAAAGAAGGTTGTTATGTTTGCTTGGAAAACTGCTGTCACAGGTGTAGAATCTTCCTTGCAAGACACGGCTGCAGACATATCTCTAGGTAGTATATTTCCAGTTTCAATAAACCTACACTATATACCCACTATGTGAAACACTGTATGAGATATTAGTAATGGAGTATTGAGTAATGGAGAAATGGCCATCTAGTGGGTATGGTCCACAGGGAAATACAAACAGGGAAGCTTTAATTATATAGCAAGACACCAGGGGGAAAAAGGTAAAATTTGAGATTGGAGGTACCATCGGGTCACAAATTTCTAAATTTTAGACAACAGGAGTATTGAAATTTTCTGATAAACGAGACACTATCTAAGTAGACCACTTGTCTACTTAATTACCTTGGTCAATTTCCCCTGAGGTTTTATGTTCACAGACTATGGGCTCTAAATTATTAGAGATATTCTTGCAGAGCCTAACACCAAGATTTTTCTCTAGATTTACCCCTTTCCTCCAGATAATGTAGCTGGTCACAAGATGACTTTTACCTGAATGTAGGCCTGGTGCTTAAACTTTCTAATTTGTCTCGTAGATCCTCTGGAACTTCGCAAAAGTACATGAGAAAAATTAAAGCTGAATTAATTTAACTAGGAATACTGAAAAAAAAAAACCAAAAAAACTACATTCCAGTGAAAGACAGCCCAAGCTGCAGCTGCTGAAGAATGAACCCACACTGTCTAGCTAAGTACTGTAGTGAAACAGCCCTCTGGCTGAAAATAAGTGGACAAAAAACATGAAAAACAGAATTTAAACTGTAATTATCATTGGAAATAATTAAATTTTTCTGTGGCTAAAAGGGAGGGTACATTTCAGTGTTAGGAATTTTCTCTTCTAGGAATACAATCAAGGCAGGAGTAGGGGTCTACAGGTTTCAAATTTGAAGGAGTTTTTTTGGTTAGGACCTCTGTGGTTATGTTATAGTCAAAAGTATAAAAACCCTCTCTGCTAAGATCGTAATTGGAAGGAGATGAAAGTTATCAATCTAGTACAGGAGTCAGCTTCCTGGTTTTCTCCAGCTCATGATCTAAGAATTGTTCTTACATTTTTAAAGGGCTGTTCAACAAAGAGTGTGTGACAGAGACTGTATGTGGCTCACAAAGTCTAAAATATTTACTATCTGGCCATTTAGAAAACACATTTACAAACCCCTGACCTAGTGTATGCTGTGCCCTTATAATTAATTCTGTTGATGACCTGTTCTCACCCACTTCTAAGGGTTGGGGAGGTAGGAGGACAAAGAATGTCTGCTGTCTACTGTGTTGTTGGTATAGTCCCAGGCTCCTTCTTTTTTGCACATGGAGGTAAAAGGAAGACCTCCAGACTGAAATATCTGAGTCTTTAATTTATATAAGTCCATGTTTATAATAGTCTCAGTTTTCTGTAATAAGTGGGAAAAAAATGAAAAGAAAATTGTGGACAAGAGAACTTTGTGGATAGCGCCAACGAAATTACACATACAGCAACTATTTCTACAGGACAGGTGAAGAGTACAGTTTAAGCAACTGCCAGGTTCTCAAGATTAAGCCCTGAAATGAGTTCACAGCAAGTAAGGAATGGCATTTGGCCACTGCTGACAAACAATGGGATATACTGAAGGCTTATCTTGTACCAAGGGCTGTGCTCAAAGCACAGCTTGAATTACATAATCCTCAAAATTATCCTTTCTGCCATATGTCAGTTATCTTAATTTTACAGACAAGTGCAGAAACTTAATATAAATACCACCAGGGTGAACTAGGCATACAAAAGCATTAAATACAACTACACTACCATCACAATGATTTAGCTCTTCTTAAGGCTATTTACCTTGGTGTGCTTTCGGGAAAAAAAAGTGGTAGTAACAAAATGCATGGTATTAATACCTTCACAAATAGGGCTTCTTTAAGATGACTTGAAAAATCAGAAAAGTGTGATGAATATGTAATAGTAGCAATTTTAATCACCTGCATTCAATATGATATACATGAAAACTCTTGTCAGGTAGTGGCACAACAGTTTAATGTACTTTTATCGTGTTGTTAAGCCCCATACCTACCGGAGGAAAAGTGGGGTTATCAGCTTTTATAATGGTAAACCGGGGGGGGGGGNAGGCCAGTGAAGCGACGTCCTCCACAATTAGACTGAAGACCAAAAGGACAGCAACTTGTCTGTTCTCCTTCTCCGATTCCCCAACACTGTTCCTTTCCCCAATTCCCCAATAAAATCTTTAAAAAAAAAAAATTAAAGAAAAACCCTGAAACAGGTCAATTTTTACTACTTTATATTCTAAAATACATATCAAAGAAACTTCCAAACCACATAGAACAACCAAAATATGACAACAACACTTTTACTTACTAAGTTAATGCAGTTGCTCATATCTTTCAAGATTGTGCCTTAATGAAAGCTTAATCACAGCCCCAAAACAATTTAATAATTTTCATCTGCGCACTATATATAGTATTTAAACTCTCACCATTAAAATTAAATTAGCAGGTATGGTTATTAGCAAAACCCAGTATTTGACTCAGTTATTTAGAATAATTAGAATTTTAAAAGAAGTTTTTAACAATGTTAAATATATCCTTACTTCGATCACAGTTTTCTATTGCTTGGGCAGCTTGTGATGGTTTTAAGTATCGAACATAGCCCAAACCTTTACTTTCTCCAGTGACTTTATTCTTAATAATGCTGCAATACTCGATATCTCCATACACCTATGAGAGTTAAAAGAAATTATCTTAGAGGAGTCAAAATTAATAACTGAACAGATTATTTGTACCTCTTGGTTGCAAAAAAAGAAATAGAATTAGAATTTACTGCCATTTTTAATAACGGAATCAAAATGTCACAAACTAATGAGGCAATAGAAAAATAAGCATAACAATAATATAACCAAGTAATAACATACCCCAAGTAATATTATCTTATTGTCACAACAATCCCTGAAGGATACACATGCACACGCACAAAACCTGTGTATGTGTGTGTGTGTGTATGTGTGTGTGTATATATGTGTGTGTGTATATATATGTATGTGTGTGTGTGTATATATATATATATATATATATATATATATATATATATATA